TATAGTGGGGGAAATTGGAACTATTTTTAGGAAAAAGGAAACGAAAGGAAAATGAAAATGGGAAATGAAGGAAGTTTCTTGCGTAGTAGTAGAATTTAGGTTGAATTTGTTTACGCGGTTATGGGGTCAGAGACTAATTGTCTAATGACCTAATAGAACGCTACCACATCCTGCGCTTTGCAAATTGGCCAACTGGCGGAGTTCTAAGGTTATTGGTTACTGTTAAAGAAGAATAAGGGGGTCAGTACGAGAATTCATGAATTCGTGTTGTTGCGGGCTGTGGCCAACAAAGTTTTTTCTTTAATGCCTTTAACACTTTTGTAACTTTTTGCTTTTTGCAATTTTTTAAGGATATATCTAACGGGTGTCCAATAGGCACATTTTAAAATATAATTCAAGTGTTAAATTTTTTAAAAAATAAAATTAATTAAAAAATATATATAAATAGGAGAAGGGAAGGCAATAATTATCAATATATACATGCACACGCGCGATATGTTAGATGAAATTTAGATGTGTTATCGAGTATCAATGAATGTCTTAGAAAACTTCAATTTTGTATTCATTTTTGTTGTTTTATTTTTTTTTATTATTATTGGAACTCGTGAATTGTGGATACAACGAGAGCTAGAAAGGTAATTAGCAAATATTTGCACCATTTGCTTTGGCAACTTACCTATTTTGGCTCTTTTTCCTTAAGATAGTTTCCTTGCAAGTTTTCGAGTAATTATGGACATGTACAAGTTTCTCAACTTGAAAAAAGTAGACCAAAAAAAAAAAAAAAGTAAACCTCTTGCTTAACAGGTAGAGAAAGTCAGAATAATTTGGATGCTTCATTTCTCTTTCATACACTAACTTCCAAGCAAAGTAAATATAATTCTCAATTTCTCTCCTAAACCCCAGAATAAAAAAGAATAAAGTGTCGCACATTCTTACCTTTAAATCCCTCTTCTATCCAAATTAATAATTTTGGATCGGAGATTATTTGAAATATTTTTTTAAAAAAAAATATTGTAGCACCTGTTATATTAGCATGTAAGGTATGTGAAATAAAAAATAATAGTTAGAAAGATAAGAAGGTAATTGAAACCACAACTTTGTTTAGCTCTCCATAATCTGGAAGGGTTGCTAATGATTACATGATGAATTACGTCCACAAAATAGAAATTGTTGTCCAACAAGTTGCTTTATTACGACTTGGAATGGTTGGAACAATACTGCGTAGTCTACACAGCGCAAATTTGACCAGAGCAGAGTTCCAGCTGAATAATGGATGCCTTTGGGAACCAAGTCAGAGCGTGACGCATTCTTCTTTTATTTTTCATCTTTTCTTTCCTCCCCAGACCCAAAGCCTGCATACCCGCTTTGTTATCATGCATACGATTCTCTGCCAAAAGAAAAGAACAGAGAGTGGAATAATATCGGATTCCCACCTTGGCCCAATCAAGATAGAAGAGCCAAGAGTCAACAGCATGTTCTTCTGACCTGCCCTAAAGATATTTTTGACCAGTCAACACACACGATCGAGTTTCTGACTGTTGAATGTATGTTTTACACGTAATAATTTCTCGAACAATTATTTTTCAATGCTGAATAAAGTTGAGATTTCAGGATTTAGAGATATTGAATTTAAATTTTTCTTTTTTCTCCGCGCTTTTTAAATTTCACCATTTATAGTAGCTAGCTGATCTTTTTTTTTTTTCTTAAGATCTTCCAGTTAATTACTAGATCGTCAAGTAATCTTCTCTACAATAGATATCTGAACCTGAAAACAATAACGTCTTAAAAGCATTTCTCTAGTAGAAGTTAAAAGTCCAATTCCTGTTCAATAACTAATTGCTACTTATGATAGCAGGCAATCCATGAAAGACTGCCCAAAGTCGCATCATAATTAAATTCATGCATCTGAATATGTTCGTTATAGACGAAAAATATACTGAGCACCATGAAGAGAACTAATTAAGGCCATTATTTGGCATCAAATTTCCATCACTGATTTAAAGTTTCTCCTCAACTCCTGCATCTAGATGACGCGCCCGGTCCTCCAGCCACTACCTAAGATATTACCTCCCTTGAGCAAACCTCCGACCTAACCTCAACGAGTCCATGCTGCAAATCAACAGCTTCAATATTCGATTCATTTTTTTTTTTTTTGGGGTACCCTAATGTCACTATAACGCGTGATTAAGGAATTTTTTTTATTGGATTTGATGAAAGAATAATATGCTTATGCACTTAATCAATATTAATCAAGAGAACTTTAATATCTACCCTTCAGTTAACCACCTTATCACAAGGATTGGAAATACTGAATACTGAAAAATGTGTCGACTGAATAGGTTGTTTATTGAAGTATTCTGAACAATTTGAGGGCATCAAAACATATGCATATAGAGTAATTCAAATAATGGTTTTGTAAAATTTCTGCTCATGTAGATACACAGATCGCTTGATGATTATTTGCCATGCTAACTTAAAAAGGTTAATTTAATAGAGACGATTTATAAATCATGTAAATAAACAAATCTTGGGTTTAAATCTCACTGAATGTGAATTTATTAGTTACCATCCCACATTTTCTAATGTTATTAGCTGTAATGTTGTTGATCAGTTTTAATCTGTGTGTGCTCAGTATTGTTGTCATTATTGTGTGTTAATTTTAATCATATAATTAAAGAAAAAAAATTCCCAAGTAATTGGCCCATGGAAGAAGAAAACGTCACTTGACCACGTTAAAGGACACCAATTCCATCAGGTAGATGAGGCTAATGGCAACTGTCAAAAAGTTTGAGAAAAAATGAGGCTGATAAAATATGTTAGTCGTTCACATTATCATTGAAATTAAATATGGTCATAGACTGACGGGGCCGTTAACCCTTTGATTGCAGCCAAATGTTAAGCTTGACTCCACCGTGTTTGCTAACCTAATTCATCACTTAAATTTAGTGTATTCAAATTTTAACTTATTTCGACACGTTTGATAACTAAAAATAAAATATTTGAACTAATTAAATGACGCTGAATTTTTTAAGACAAAATTTGGATAAAAAAAATAAGTGATAAGCTATTCACTTATCACTTAATGTGACATACACTCAAATGTACTATTAAATTTGGTACTTAATAATTTAGTAATTTGCTAAATTTAGATTTTAGATTTCAAATCTCAAATTTCAATTTTATTAAATGCACCCTTATTTTCCAATTCCCATAAGTCACTACTCCAGACTTGAAAGGAAATGCAACCTTTTTCATGAACAACAAAGGCTATGTCAACACAAGTTGGTCCAATTAATAAGAATGAATCACTTTTTTACACAAGTTGGTCCAATTAATAAGAATGAATCACTTTTTTACAAAAGATTATGTATGCGAATCCCGCCGCCAATGTGAAAACTGTGTTGGTAGGCGATCTGTAAAAATTTCTGTAAGCGATCTATGGTTCGGGAGGTATACACCAGTATTGATTGGAGCTGAATGTACCCAAACATTTTTCTTGAAAAAAAAAAAAAAGAAAATGCTACGTGTCAAGAGGGTGGACCTAATGCATTGGACTTATTGATTGGTGAGTTGTTGTTGGCTGGATTGCCCAGTTCACCAAACTGGTTGGAGGGATGGCCGAGTCACCGCGTTAGGGTCGGTCTTGAGACAATTCAAAAGTCAGAAGAGGTATATATGGGGGAGGGGGACAGAGCCACAGAGGGAGAGGTGGTCATTGACTTTCTCCGGTGAGGTCCCCTTCCAGTTCCCATTTCAGGTTCTCCGATTAATGTGGACGAAAAGTTGTCTTGACTTGAAAGCCGGAGAAAGAACAAGTGTTTAACGGTCAAAAGTGAAGAACTACTAGAAAGTAGTCGGTGAGATTGTAAGAGCAAACGGAAGCCGAAAAGGTAAAAGAGTCGTCGCCTGAGAGATTCGAACTCTCGCGGGGAAACCCCATGTACTTAGCAGGCACACGCCTTAACCACTCGGCCAAAGCGACGTTGGGGATGGAGACAGCGAAGCGAATAAAAAATTATAGTTTTCAATAGTATTAGAAAGCAAAAACAATTCCTTGCATTTGTGCTTGATTTACTAGGAAAGTGTGGTATTTTGCTTATTTTGGCTCATCAGCACATGCAAAATTTTTTTGTGAAAAATTTACTTTTTTCACATAAACTTGAATAGATCATGTTTTTATAACTTATTTCTAGTTCTATGTTTAGTACAAAATGAAGGTTCGAATGAAAAGACCATCATCTTAGTTTGTTTTTTTTTTTTTATTTTCATATTTAGTATGAGACTTTTGGATTGAAAAGGGGCATTTTTGAGGAGTGCCAATCCAATTTAATCATGAAAAAACCTTTAGTTAGCGAATCACATCTCTTAACATCATATTGATCTTTTACATTTTATTTTGCAGTAAGCCTTGATAATTTAATATTAAAATTCACAATGACATATTTCTTTGCATGGTGGTCTTCTTATTTTGGCATGGACATCATTTGAATATGTATTTTCATACTTTTGTTGTCCTTCATTAAAAAACCTAAGAATTGCTCGTTGACAGAGGAAATACTACTTGCATAACTTGAGCAAAAGGAAAAGAGAAATATTATTTGCACTCATTTTTTGTTACTTGCACTAGCATAATTTGTTTTATTATATGTTCTAACAAACAAAAATTATATGATTAAAATAATAGTGGGAGTGTAATTAACAGAAATGGCGCAAATAACATTTTCAAGGAAATTCTCAAAATGTAGGTATTTAAGCCAAATTATGCATATGTCGTTCTAGGCTAACTTCTTAAAGTTACTTTTTAATGGATGGAAGTGCATTTTCCAAATTTTGTCTATTCGAGTAACAAATCACAAATGTGGGGTAACTTTTTTTTTTTTCCCCCAAATATCCCCATCCTTTTGCGCCCTCAATCTAAAGCGTCCCATATAATACTCAAGAGTTCCACGCCTCGATGTTTCTAAAGAATATTTTGTTGCTTGCATATTTTAAAGCGTGCTCTATAATCCTAAAGACTATTTTGTTGCTTGCATATTTTTCTGTCCTCAAAATTGAGCATAAAAAACAAAGAACGAAACCTTAATCGAATTCCACCATCACGACAACGTTTTAGATGGAAAGAAATTAAGGTTTTTGCTGATGCAGGCGGCTGCTTCTATGCGGATTCTCTCAATCCCTTTCAAGAATCTGAACAAAGCCCTTCTTCTCCATCACAATCTTCAGAATCACCGTCACCGTTTTCTTCCCTCGTTCTCCGTAATTCAGACAAAACCCTGTATTTATCTAACGCCAATGGCCACCATTAGCAGCAATAGCATCACTGCGTCTGATTCTAATCCCAATAATAATAAAAAAGGTGGTGCCTTTACCACAATTAAAGAAAGGGTCACATTTCAGACAGAGATAAAGAAGAGTAAATTTATCGCCATTGCTGGCACCATCTCTAATGAACGCTCTGCTCAGGCCTTCCTCACTGAGGTATTAATAATCACTCCTTCCTCTCTTCTTTCTTGCATTTTACTTTTGGTTTTTTTTATTTTTTTATTTTTGCCATTAAAGACTTATTTTTTGTTTTGTTTGGAAATAAGGTTCGTGACCCCAAGGCTACTCATAATTGTTGGGCATATAAGGTACAAAATTTGATCTTTTCCGGTATGATAGTTATTAGTGATTCTTGGGGTACTTGAATCAATTATGAGGCTTTTATTTCTCTTTGCCCCTTTTGTTTGTTGGTTGTTTTCGACGCAAATGCAGTTATTTGTGAATTCTAGGTTGGGGATCAGTTTCGGAGTAATGATGACGGTGAACCATCTGGTACAGCAGGCAAGCCAATACTTTCTGCAATTGAATCTTCTGGGATTGATAGAGTTATGGTAGTCGTGATCAGGTAGACAAATGTTGCACATTTTTTGGGGCCATGCTATTGCTTTTTTCCCTTTGGCTCTGATTCAAATGTTTCTTTTGTGAATGAAATGTAGAGAGTGTTGTTTTTACGTAACAATTTTCATTTTTTGATACATGCATTAAGTTTTTGACATCCATTAGTCTGTTATTTGGCTTTTCTATCTAGGGAGAGAAGCTATTCAAGATGTTCATCTTTTTGCATTTCATAATTTAGGTACTTCGGAGGTATTAAACTTGGCACCGGAGGTTTAGTCAGGGCTTATGGAGGGGTTGCTGCTGATTGTTTGAGAAATGCCCCCACTTGTCTTGTCAAGTCCAAAGTAACAACTCATCCTTGCTGGCTTTTACATTCTCTAAAACTTGTGCCTATTGAATCAATAGTAGTCTAATTCTATAAGTTTCTTTTCCACTTCGTACTTTGCACATTGAAATCTGCTTCATGAATTAAATATTGTGACAAGGATCTTGATTTGTAGGTTCCAATGGGCTTGGAGATTCCATATGACCTTTTGGGGGTTCTCTACCATCAGGTAAGATTCAGAGGATTTATAAGTTCTCTTCTGGTTGTGTTGCTGGCTAATTAACTGTCAAATATTGTCATGACAAATCATGTTTTGATTGTCATTTTGACATGTGGAGCATACGTCAGTTTTTCATATATTACCAGTTTGCTAAATGTCATCAATGCATTGACTTGTTTGATGAGGTTGTGATTAGTGCATCTCAACATCGTAAACAGTTGTCTCACAAATACACCATTTGTGTATCTTGCAGCTACAATCATTTCGGGCTGAAGACATTAAGCAAGATTATGACACTGGAAAAGATGGTGTTACCATGGTAACCTTCAAAGTTGATTTTGATCAGATGGAGAGTTTGGAGGAAGCTATCAAAGTTAGCTGCGGCAGAGATATTGTTTTTTTCAAGCGCTAAGACAAGGCTTAAGAACTCTTCTGGTTCTTTAGTATGACCCTTTTTTCTGAAGAGACTGCAACCTCATCACCCTTAAGGCTCGCATCATGGGTAATATTCTTTCCTTTGCCTCTTACTATTAAACGATCTTATTTATCTGATGCTTCTTCTTGTTTAAATTGACTAAGCTTACTTGCAAGTATGGTGTATTTCATAAATATATCTTGCCGTGTTTCAGTTATTTAAGGACTAATTTTGTGCAACTTGTTCATTGGCATAGACTTAACTTATAGTATAAATTTCTTTTCTTAAATTCAATTATGGAGTGAGAAAATTTCTGGATGTCTTTCTGCTGACTATTATAGTCGAATAACATTTTATGAACTAATTAAAAGAAAAGCAAATAACTTCAGCAGGAAGATCTATCAAGTTTGTTATGTTTCTCATATTCAATCGTACTTGTAACCACATTTCCATTGGCCATCTTTTCCAAATTTTGTGTTTTCAAACCACTCCTTTTGATTTGATAATCAGCCTTGAGTTGTATGATTCTCGTGACTAATTGGGATGGTCAATACGACTGGCTAAGTATATAATGTGCATTTAAATGCGGATTTAACTAATGCAATCTTTGGTTTCTCAAACATATCATCCGGCACCCTTTCTTAAGTCACTTTTGCAGAAATGCAAGCTTACAAGTAGTGTCGTTGAAGTCTGATGTGAAATCTATTTGTTTTATGCCTCATTTTAACTATTTTTGGTTGCCTTTGACTGTTGGATTTTACTTAAACAGCTGTGATAATGGTATTTCTTTGTCTAAGAAGACCACCATTTGAGTGATGAGTGACTCTCCAGTCTTCAGCGACGTGTCTGAGTTCCATTTTATCTTCTGAGAGCATCGGGCATCAAACTTTAGTAGCATGACTCCTGAGACTGTATACATCTTGTTGTAACACATGCTTGTACGGATGTTCACCGACCCAATGCAGCAAAAATGTTTTTGATTTGCGTGTAACTGTTCTAAATGTGAAATACTAAATCTTTGTTTTCAGGTTAGTTTCATATTCTTTGCTTCTGGATTTCTTTTGCTGTTGTATCCTGCTTTAAGTAAATGATGAGTCAAAGCCTGCATTTCCTTGTCAATCTTAGAATGTCAGCGCTACTTGGAAGAAGTGACATTAGCGATTTGATTTGATTTGCTTACTCGAGTTTGGTCCAATGAGATTATAATTGCAGTTCGACGAATTTGTGATTGAAGATGTTGAACCGTTTTGTCATGAATTTCAGCAATCACAAAAGTAATCTCGCTGATCAACTTCAAGGAAAGTGTATTCTGCCACCCACATTGGAGGACATAAAAAGTCTGTAGCACCTTTCTTCATCCATCGCCCATTTTCTATGTAGGTATTAGCTCCCGAGTCCTCCCAACTCCCAAGTCCAAAGATGTGCACTTGCATTTGTCAAACCTGATGATGCTTTAGTTCTCTTGTTTCCACGAACAAGCAGAACATTTACTGTGAGAAATTACTTACAACTCTATATGGTCATAGCCCACAAAGCCAGCAATTCCTGCAACTACATTGCCTCCATCAGTGGCATGAATACGTACCCTGCCAATTACACTCGATTTAATTTTTTTTTTCTGATTTTATGTGGCTTTCGTTGTTTTTTCTTTAATCGAGTGTACTTTCCAATTATCTCTCTGGCTTCCTACTTCCTACTTCTATCATGAATGATTGGTCTGGTGTTGCTATTTTTATTTATTTCACAAATTTACTTAAATTTTGACTGGAGCATTCAAGTGCAAATGTTAAGAGCAAAGACAAACATGACAAGTAGCAGATGTCAAATTTAAAAAAAAAAAAAAAAAAAAAAATCCAGGCATGGGATTGAAGGACACTTGTTGAAATTCACATCATCAAATGATGACTGAAACTTTTTATTCCTTACATATGTGCTAAGCACAGAAGCACATGTACTAAGTATTTTATTTTTGTCATAAGATCAACATTCAACCATGTAGTTATTCACGCAAACTTGTACATGGAAGTTTCCTTGATTTATGGCTTGGCTCAGTTCTCATTTTGTACAAAAGCTTGAGCTTCTTCAGGGTTGTAGCAGCACCTGCAATATTTGCCATAGCCACCACAACAGCCGTACCTGCAGTGCCCACCATATCCACCTCCACCACCATGACCACCTCCCCCACCATGACCACCTCCGCTGCCACCACCACCACCTCCATAGCCGCCGCCACCACCATGTCCGCCGCCACCACCTCCATAGCCGCCGCCACCACCATGTCCACCGCCTTCATTGCCATTGATGTCAGCGTTTACTTGGGTTGCTTCAGCTTCATTAGCTACATGGACAACACAACTTTTTAAGTTACAAATACTGTTCACGCATTTAAATCCTGTTTCTTTGAATGGTGCAACTATTACCTGTTCTGCAGCACTTACTACAACCATAGGGGCCCCGACGACCACAGCAGCCATAACGACACCGACCTCCATATTGTTCGGGTTCCTTTGCCTTGTCCTCTGCAAACAATAATTGTCAACCAGGCAAACATTTGTAATTCATCCTATAATCCATACTATTCATTTACGGAGATCGTATGATATTTCTATTGAAAAATAAGAAAATCAAGTTAATGACCGATGGAAATCTTGCAAAAACATAAGCATAGCTACTTGGTACTAGTATTTTCTTACCCTTTGTTCCATCCTTGGGTGTATCAACAGCCATAGTGGAAGAAACGAGAAGAAATAGAGCACATAGAAGTGCAACCAAAATAAACGCTCTGGACTTCATTTTTCCTGTGCTTTCTGGCTTACAAAAGAGATACTGAAGATGTTAGGAAAATACTAGTTCATTCAAGCTCTATTTATAGTGAAGGAAACCAGAAGGATTTCATGATATGTGCTTGAAGAGCTTGATACATTGATTAGAATATGACGTTGGTGTCTAGATTATCAGTAGAAAATTGCAGTGCGGTGGGTTCTTGGCATTTTCTCAATCTGGACTTATGGTTTCTCAGGTTTTAGATGAGTTTTTGAGATATGATTTGGAAAAATTTCATGGCGAAGGGGCTGAAATGGTGACAGGTAGCAAAAGTGCTGTACACCTGGAAACTGATTTCGCAATGGTAACACTACATTGGGGGGGTTTTCTTAGCAACTGCATGCGTGGAACTCGTCAGCTGCTTCAAAGTCCCCTCTTGTTTTCGGCTTTTACTTTTCAAACACACACATACCATAATGGGAAAGTTAAGACCAAAAATTCAAAGGATGATGTACATCCGTTTGGATTTCTTTGGATGAGTTGCGAAACTTGCTAATAATAGTTTAGCATTTTTTTGTAGCTCCTTTCTGATGCAGATAAAATGGAAATGATGCAAGTACCATTGCGGTAGGTGCAGTTCTATACTACTGTATTTGTTACATAATTTTTTGATGCAAGTTTACATCATGTGATTGTACATGTGAGCCATATTTTATTTTTTCTGTACGTTTTGTTCTTTTGCACTCCATCTCGTAAGAAATTCAGTGCAATAACTTGTGTAAATGCATACCATATCATATTATGTAAAAAGTACAAAAATCGACTGTGATAATAATATCAAATCACACAATACATACATGTACCATATCCTAATGAATTATATAAAAATCGTTGAAGTGGTCAACATAGTTATTTTATGTTAATGAGTTGCTTGCACAACTACGACCAAACAGCTCTAGAAGTTACAACAATTAAGAGGACCCAAACTCGTCATTGCTTGAACACACAGCTTGTGTATATTAACTGGTGAACAAAATTCTCATTTAAACCAAAAAACATAAAAAATTTTAATCTATTTCAATTCACTATTGTGATATAAACAGCATATTTATCAAAGATGTGATGACAAGATTTACATCCAGACTACAAAAGTGCATGAAAAGTAATATTCCTCTCATGTTTTGCTTGTCTATCTCTCTCTCTCTCTCTCTCTCTTTTTTGGGGTCTCCAAGATGAAGTTCCATCAACTTTCACATGAAGCCTGATTTCAATCTAGACAAGTATGTTGCACCTGAATGCTTGGATTGTAAAAGGGACTGAATTGCTACTGCCCCAGTACACAGTTGTCGGTGATAGTAGTCCTTAGTGTTTTCGTTCACAGCCTTAGATTTGCATTTTATTTTCGTCTTTCAGAAAAAAAAGCAATTAATTCAAAGAATGTAACCAAAGAACCGCTTTTATGTTGTTGAGATTAGATTTCTGATGGCTGTCGGTCAAATCTTAACCAGATACTCAGACCCCGTGAAAGAAAGGTTTCAAATAATACGATCATAGTATGAGTAACAGATATCCAATAATACAATCATAGTATGAGTAACAAAGATACAACGCCGCAATCATAGTACGAGTAACATACGAATATGGCTGGAGCCACCAAAAAAAAAAAAAAAAAGAAATGATCGATAATCTTCATGGATTTCCAGACTTCCCAGTAAAGAGATGATGATAAATAATCCAAGTGCTTCGTTTTCAATGTCTAGCTTGATGGTGGTGGTGAGGGGAAAGGTAAAGTAGGAATTGTAGTAGGAATAGAGGGAATGGAAGGGATGGTAGGCAAAGTTGGAAGCTGAGTGCTTGGCAATGGCGGAAATGTGGGCTTTGGCAGTGATGGAAGATTTGTGGGTAATGTGGGCAAAGGGGTAGCTGGCATTGGTGGCAATGTGGCTGTAGGGAAGCTTGGCATGGTAGGCAATGGAGGCAACTTGGGCAACGATGGCATTGTAGGTATTCCTGGCGTCGTCTGCAGAAGGTAGCGAGCTGCGTTAGAAACCTTGATGCTTGAAAATGATAGAGCTAGGATCAAGGACAGAACAAAGCAAACTTTGGAAGATGTAGCCATTGGTAAATGATCCTGTATTGAAATTCAGAAATTAGCAAACACTTTTTTAAGTGTTACGGCAAGTACAAGATGGGTATTTTTCTGGTTTCGAGTTGAGGGACTCGCATATTGTTTCTTGACTCTTATTTATAGATAGCCATAGAGGTGAAAGTGTTTGATCGAATGTAGTTGGATTAGTAGAATTAGGTTTAGTTGGCCTTTCTCAACTAAACTTGGAATTAGTTTGGAATTAGAATGCTGATGAACTACCAACAGTTTATGGTGTGCAAGTGTACACTTGGTTATTAAGAATTCCCCCACAGAGTCTGAAATGGGGTAAGGTCAATACAGGAGAGAAACTTGAGAGAAAAATCCAATCCAACAGCAGCGATACTGAGGCCAACACTTGACGAGGAGAAGGAAAAAAAAAAAAAAAAAGAAAGAGTAGTTCAACTGTATTTGTGATGTGAAGTTGTCCTCTTAAAAAAAAAACAGCTTACTTTTCTATTTTTTTAAATTTTTTTTTTAATAATAAGGGAAGGTTGGAATTTAAAAAGAGGTAGGGGTACATTTCATGGCATCAAAACATAAGTATCCCTCTGTATCTTGAGAGCTTCTCATTTCATACTAATCGATCTCCTATTATTTAGTCGAAGTAAAAGTCCTTGTATTAATACTACTGCAAGTAATAAAAATGAAAGGGATTAAAGGTCAAATTAAAGCATGAGCGACATTCCATGCAAATAATGTCGAGAACGTACATATAACTTGCACGAAATATTCAAATTAAACTACAAACAGACATGAGCAGCCCTTGTACTGCAATGCACTTTGGTTTATTTCCTATTATTTGCATTACAGACTTGGTCACAAGATGCAAAGTACAACAATTGACTTATCAAACATTTATCTGAACTATGTCGAAATTGAGGATTTTATTTAGATTTTTCATGTAGAGAAAGCAGATCTCGCGTTTCGATTCCAAGTTCCAACCATGAATTATCTCGAACAATCACTTCAGGGTTTGAGGCTACACCTGCTGGCATACTTTTTTTTTTTTTTTTGGAATACTGCATCACAATCATCATCATCTTCGCATATTGGGTTGTCAACAACAAGAGTGATTACTGCATGTTCAATCGTCTGCAGGGGAACTTCGCATTCAGTCTGAAGTAATTTTCTTGAGATAATTGTGGCCATTTTCACGTCCATCCCTTGAACCATTGGCGATGACAATACTGCAATTAAATCCCATAAAAAATCGTCAGATGAAAAGCCTTTTTACCAGTCCTTTTTTTTTTTTTTTTTTTGAATATAGATTTGAACCCGTCACTTCTAGCTAAGAAGCAAAATCATGTTACCCGAACCTACCCCAAAAAAAAAACAAAAAATCTAGTGTTACTAAATATATCTGAAGGGTCATCACGGCTGCAACGCATCTTTTAGTTGTTTTAGAGTTTTTCGTGTGTTTTGTTTTCTTTTTAGGTTAAACTTTTATAGTTTATAAATAGGTTTTTCCAGGACTTTTTAACAAGTCTTTTATCAACTATTAATGAAATTTTAATTGGATATTCTAACTGTTGAAAGTTATCTCACATTTCTTATGAATCACTGATTCATACCTAGATTTCATTCGTGTAATAATTTTCTGATGGAGGGTGTTCGTGTAACCCCTTTATTTTTCACACTTTTGCTATGGCATCACTTTTTTTTTTTTTTTTTGCAAAATATGTTATTTATCTCTTTAAAACGAATCTTTTGGGTTGTTCGGATGAATTCAGCTCTTAATGCAAGTGGTTTAGTAGTGTTGTTTCACTACTAAATCAAGATTTTATTGGCAAGAGAGACTTAATAAGGTAATTAATCATCAAAGACTTTTAATTTTTTTTTTAAGTTGAAAGTTTAGACAGCTGGTGAATCTAATCTTTTTTTTTTTTTTTTTTTTTTTTGTGAAGTGAATGTAGTCTTTATTGGATAGAATTTTCATTCTTTCAAATAAAAAAAAACACAAATTCCGCAACATTTTCCCAAATGTCTGTACATTAACACATCATGAGCTTCCAATTTATTTGTGCAGATGATAGAACTTACATATTGAAACTCTTCATTATGCCCATCCCAAAACTTCTTTCTTTTTTTTTTTTTTGGGAGTACACCATTTTAAGCGTAGATGTATTCTGGTATAACGGTTGCTATAGATCCCAAAACTCAAAACTAAAAACTTTTGTCTCCCACATTCATATCTATGACTTAAAGTTATGTTTAGAGTTGGCAAAAGAAACAAACATACGTAAAAAAGTGCTCGTTCATAGTGTCAGAGAGCTCATCATAATTCATAACATAAACAATCCGAATACAATCTCCAAGGCACAATACATGAAATCCAAACTCCGTCTACTTCATAAGATCCCTAGCTAGACGGACTAATGAAACTGTAAAAATTTCAAGTACAAGAAATCGTATCGATAAGCAATCTGAAGGAACGACAAATATGCAAATTCAAACACTGAATCGTGTTCATGTCTAAAATGGTCTAGTTGGATGGCGGTGGAGAGAAGAAAGGAATTGAAGGAAATGACGTTGGGATATTAGTTGGGATAGAAGGAATTGTGGATGGAATGTTTGGCAATGAAGTTGCAGCTGGAATGGGAGGGAGGGCCACCTTAGGAACTGTGGGCATAGTTGGCAATGTGGGCTTTGGCAAAGGTGGAAGATTTGTCGGTAATGTTGGCAAAGGAATACTTGATAATGGTGGCAATGTGGTAGGCAAATTTGGCAGGGTTGTACGAGGCAATGTTGGTATTGCTGGTATCACTGGTGGGGAAGTTTGCAATAGTTGGCGAGCCGCCTGGCTTTCTTGGATGCTCGAAAATGATAAAGCAATGAGCAAAGACAGAAAGAAGCAGACATTGGAAGAAGTAGTCATTTTGAGCACTTGTTTGATTAATGCAGAAGGTAGAAGCTTCAAATTGAATCCGTAGGGGATTAATTTGTTT